TGTGCTGTAGAGTCTCAGGAGGAAACATGTCTATTTAGGACAGTGTAAATGAGTTTATTACTAACAGGTTGTCATTCACTAGGGGGCGCCAATTGAATTTAAAAGAAAACATCTGCTGATAATGAAGTGGAGGGATTAGACTGGAAACATAAAGCTAAACAAATGCAGCACTGTATTACGGTAGTTAAAAACCTAACCATGTATAAACCTTAACTAAACATATTGTAAAACTGACTTAAAAACAGATTATAAGAGCATTTATAGTTGTGGCCTAGTGGTTAGGGCATAGAACTTTGAATCCTGAGGTTCTGAGTTTGAGCCCCACTCCCACAGTCTGCCTCTCTGGGTCCCTGAGCAAGACCCTTAACCCCCACACTGCTCCCTGGGTGACACACAATGGCAGCCCACTGCTCCGCAAGGGGATAGATTAAATGCGGAGGTAAAAATCCTCCAATGTGAGATCAATAAAGTTCAATTAGCAATTGATTAATTTATACGTTTTTGTAAAGATCAGTGGATTTTTTTCTCATTGTTCTTTTCCTCTGCAGAGCAGATTAGAACTAAGTTTTTTTTTTTACCTATTCACACTCAAATGTTCATATTGCAAAACTAACCTAACCATTAATTAGAAATTTAAACCAATAAACTACAATTATTGGCCTTTACATCAACATTTAATTTTTTTTATCCTATTTTTTACCTTAATATTTTTAACTCTAATAATACCCTTATTGTTTAGAAAATAGCTATATGAATACATTTTCCCATACAGGCTCTTAATATAACAAAAAAACAAAGTGCCTACATATCGCTTCCTACCATGGAGACCACTTGTTTTACCAGCATTAGGGTTTTACTTGCTAAGTTAGAGGGTAAGTAGTTCAATCCACAATTGCTACCTCTTGGTGGCGCCAATGTTTTTTTAAAACAGTCACAAAAAAAAAAAAAAAAATAGAATATTGCCCACTTTTCTTGTTAATTGTTTCTTATTTAATGAAATAAATCACCCAAATAAAGACTCAATGATGAGCACATGTGCACAGAGAATGGCTGAAATAGTATTGTGTGTGCCTCTTATTTATTTCTCTTCATGAGTAACTCACTTTGATTAGACAATAACTGTTACAACACAAAATTTTTTTTTTTTTTTTCTTCTCCAAAGCAAGTTTGGCCACATGTTATGTACAAAGTCATAATAAAAGTCCTTCATTTGTCAGCATTGTCTCCAGTTTAAAAAGTTAAGGTCAGCTTCATGTCAAACCCTCCGTTTCAGTTGCAAATTGAAAACATCTTGACAATAAATAATACCGTAAAATGCACACAAAAAGATTGACAGTCCACCACAAGTTCATAACGTCGCACATATTGCATGTTGAGGAGCAGGGGGAACTGAGGAATCAGAGGAAATTTCCTTCTTAGCAAAAATGTGACAGTTCATACCAGTTACAGAAAAAAGCTGATCATCTATACATTGACACTAGCAAGATAACAAAGTTGTTTTCTTTTGTACAAAGAAGGGAAAGTAATCTTCACAAGTAAAGATCATTGTCTAGCTGTGGAGATTATACAAGCAAGATTTAAGGCAACTTATGTTTTTGAAACATAAGGGCATCATATCCCATTTTATTTGTTTTGTCAGCTGACCACTTGTTTTCTGTTTTTTCAGCTTTGAGTTTGTTACATTGCATAATCCAGGCTTTGGAAGTAGGCCTGCAATTCGTCATCAAAAAGGAATGCTGGAGTTTATCATGACTCTTGCTGCTATCAAGGAAGATGGATTCTACTGTCCAAGAATAGACTTCCGGATCTTCATGGAGGATATATTCCTAATACTGAACATGGGGAAGGGTAGGAACAGTCAGAACATTTCATTTTTACCACAGTGTGGGAGTAAAAAAAGTGTAAACCAGAAGGGAAAAGCAATCATAATAATGATCTGTGTTTAGGATAACATCAGAAATGGGACATTTTGAGCAGTCAGAGAGAAAAAGAAACTCAAACAAGTTTGACTTGAAGGTTAAGTGGCACAAGGATCAAAGGTCAGGCAACAAACGGAGCTCTTGTCTCCCAAGAGATTAGCTAATAGGGAAAAGGAAATTTTGAAAATATGTTTTTGGCCACAAATTAGCAGATAATAAATATTTTGTAATGCAGAATTGATACAGAAACTATGACATCCTGTTTTCTCACGTTTGACATGCTTTATCTTTTATCTTTTACCATATTTCCTTTAACTTTTAATGGATTGACGTACTGGCAGAGTTAAGCTGCAGTTATATGACCAATAAACAGCCTGATCACATAGTCAATCCTATTAATTTACTTTATAAGAGCAAACTGCAAACAAATCAAGTTGGGTTTCTTTTCTGCTTCATTCTGGAGCACTACGTGTACAGTATTTGGATTTTTTCTTTTACTTGCTTCATAAATGTACTGAGAACTAAAGGATTTAAGAGTTAGATGTCATTAAAACGGTTCACTTTTAGTTGTTCAGTCTTAACCATAAATCTGCTGCTGATACACTGAAAGGGACCATTGAAACAACACTTCAAACATATAAAAAAGACAAAAAACAACAAACAGATAGAAAAGCTTCCCCTATATTCCTTTAGCTAATTAAACCCTAGGAATGTAAATTTGATATTTAATGTTTACTTCAACAAATGGTTGAAAAGTGTTTGAACAGCCTACGGACTCATCATCTTGCCTCTCTTCTTCAACACATTCAAATAAAGTCACCTGATCACAGGTAAAGACAAATTGATGTTTTATTCTGTTGATGTCACTGTGTACTTCTGCAGGAACTGATGTATATTAGATTATAGATTTGTATATCCCAGATGTCCCAGTAACTTTAACAAATGGCAGCATTTCTCACCTTGGGAATGAGACTTTATTCCAAAGAATAATTCTTTTTTATTCAAAAGAACATTTTCTTTCTCTGATCCAGATTTTTCTGCAAAGGAGAAAAATGAAAAGCCTAAACATAATTTTTTAATCCAAAAAGTAGAGCAGAAGTAAAGCAAAGATTGAAAGCGAACCGATGCAGAGGGAAGGATAAACTACTGATAAAGTGGCATGCAGTGTAACCTCAGCAGGAAATATAACTTGACCAACTTCTACATGGTTACCTTTATAAAGCCTGTAAGAAAGGATTTTGCTTGCTTTTGATGTGCGATTTAAGCTTAGAGCAGATGTTAGAACTCAAGGGTGAATTTAAACAAAATTAACAGAAACGTGATCTGGAATTGAAAAGTTAGTGTATATGTTTGCATTGACCCTTTTTGCATAATTTCTAATTAAGATAAGTATGATAAAATTAACGATGGATTTCAGATGTTCTATGTCTAAATTTTCTTGGGTTAAGTAGTTTTTTTCTCTATTGGTTGGTGGTTTTATCAGGTATCTTGCCATACATTGTGTTATGGATGCTTCAAACCAGTACAGTGCTTCTAACCTGTGACATGTAAACTAAATACTGACTTTTTTTGACTAAGTGCAGGTAAAACTGCATGGAGGACAGTTTTGAACACACAAAGGACAACAGCCCAAAATATAAATAAAAATATTTTAAAACTCTGTTGGCAAAAGAACAGTGGGTCATTTGGTAATTTTTGTGAACACTTAAGGAAAGTCTTTCATACTAGAAATACCTGAATCTGTGTTTAGCTACTTAGGAGTGTTCACTTCTTTATTCTTAATATAAGTCTTTTGTTTTAGATGGAATTGATTTTATCCCACAACCTCATCAAACAGGTCTTTCTGAAACACATCTTAATCTCAATAAGTTTTTTTTTGTTTGTTACACAAACCAATAAAGGATCAATCCGCCTAATGGGAAAAAAAAATCCAGTCATTTCTTGGGTTTATTGCTCAATTAGCTATTATTCAACTATATTTAGCAGGTCTTTGTTTTAATATGTTGCCAATGTGTGGCTTTATTGCTAGTAGCTAAAGCAGAATTATCAACAATAACACAGAATCAGTTTTTTACTGGCAAATTATTTACCCCTCATCATTGCAAATGATATATTATCAATAAACCCTTAGAGTTTTGTTTAATTTGTTGCAATATCTGTTTTTATTGTACTTTTTTACAATAAATTAATTACTAATATTACTTAACTGACACCGAGATTTGAAGTTGACATATTTAAAGCAGATGCTGATTTGGATGAGATGAGTTAATGATCTTTTTGTAACATGACACATAGAAAAAGAGAATATATAAGTAGTGATAAGAAATTTTTTGTCAAATGTTGGTAAAGTCGGTTTAGCATAATCTAGAAAGATTGCATGCTATGAATTTGTCATTGATTTATACGCCATATAATTTGTTTTTTATATGGAATATAAAAATAAAAATAAAGCAGAAAGCATAAAAGGCTTATTAACCTCTAGTTATGACTCAAAAGCTGCTACAGACTAATTCAGTTTTTTCCAAACTTTTGGCATCCTAGACCACAAATGTTGACTCCATTGCTCCTTACGGGTAATAATGCTCTTTTATTATAAAAAGTAATTTATTGTAAATTATTTTCTTTTTACCTGGTATGCAACAAAATAAACATGCAACATTTCACTCAAACTTTTCCTTGAGCTATTTTCTTGATAAAGGTAAGGTTCACAGATTTTATTTTGTTGGTCTCTCAGAAAGATTCTTAGAAAAGATTATCAATTAAAAAAAAACCTTCCTGTATTTAGGCAACTTTAGAGAACATGTATTTGTTTTAAAGGAAATATTTGCAGGATTATTATAGGGAAAACATGGATGATAGAAGAAAAATCATTTGGGTCATAAAATTTACACAAAATGAAAGCTACATTAAAAATTGAAGATATCTTCCTCATAAATATCAGCTCCAATTGCTGGTGGGTCAAACTTATACTGTTCTTGAACTCCAGTTATTATCATTATTCCCTGGGCTTCAAATGGCCCCTAAGCTGTATTGTGGACTCCTTTGGTGAATTTCATGTTCACCACTGTGTTTTACACAGTCACCGATTTGCAAAGGTTAGGTAATACCGGTAATCCTTTTCTAACAGGAGAGATAAAAATGAGAAAATGGAACAATTAGTGTTTAGCTACTGATGTATTTTCCAGAAATGAAGCCAAGTCCTGAATATCAAGGTAATGATTATTAAAGGATAGTTGGCCATTGTGTAATAGGAACAAATAATCAGCTAATAATAGTTTTAAAGACGACAGGAACCAAAGAAGATAAAAAACCAATGTCCCATTTTTTAGCGCTTTCTTCTTGGACTTTTTTTTTTCTTATTTCAAACTGACAATTAGACCATTATTACCTGAATTAATAGCTATTTAACAAGATGTGGGGTTTGATAAACAACTACAATAGCTAGCACGTATTTCCTGATTTGATTCCTAATGACTTGTATCATACTCATCTCATCATATTGATCTTTTTGTATAAACAAACAGCTAAATAAATATATTTATTGAGGGGCAATTTCAAGCCTTCAAGTTAAGCTGCTCAGTTATTACTGCATTAACTGAGTGATACATTCGTCTGTATGCCATGGTGCAGATTTAGAAAGGATCAAACTAAATACACCATTTTTTTAGTACCTCGGTTGTATTTTTATCATGTTTTTAAGCTTTCCCCTGGTTCCACTTTAACTTAATCACAGAATGCTCCTTAGTAAAAAAACCAAAACAAAAATATATAGAGTGCATGTGCTGAGCACAGACAGAAAGCAGAATGAATCTTTAAATAACAAGAGAAGCAGCGGGGGGGTGACAGCCTGTTAATCCTCCTGTTGGAAGAATTTACTGTCTTGGTTTAAAGTCCAAGTGGTCCTGCTGGCCAAAATGTCCCTTAGGTATAAAACTTGGCCCCCAAAGGAGCTGAACCACAGGCAGGAGGAGCCCTGTCTGCTCTGCTCTGCTATGATACACATTGTTTAGTTTTCCGGGATTCCGCATCAGGCTTGAAAGGCGGTTTGTAGTGCTGGTAGATGGTGAGGTGACGACAACCTACGTGTTTGTGTGACAATATAAGGGGTGGTGCAGCTCGGAGGGATGGGATTTAGAGGTTGGGGGAGACGGGTGAGTCGCACTGCGGTTATCAGAGCATCCATCTGTGAAAAGAGACAGAGAGGAGATAGAGGGTGAGTCAAAGATGGTTTCAGTTTAATTCATGGAGCATTTCTTTTCCCTTCATTCAGTTCTAAGCCTTTTGTTTCCAGCAGAAGTCCTCATCACTCCACCTTTAAACTTTTTCTGCTGGGAGAACTTTTTCTGAATACACTGCAAAAACAATCCAGAAATAAGTAAAAAATGGCTTAAATTAAGTATATTTAGCCTTAATTTGAGCAGGTAAATAAGATGATTTGCCAATGGAATGAGTATTTTCACTCTTAAAATAAGATAGTTAGATAATATTTACTTGAAATAAGACGATAAAATAGTTTTTTCTTATTTTAAAAGGAAATTGTCTTGTTCCATTGGCAAAGTGTCTTACTTACCTCCTCAAATCAAGGAAAAACACACTTATTTTAAGAAAAAATAACTTATTGAGATTTCTATTTTTTGCAGTGTAGAATGAATATGGAAAATAAAGAATTCTTAAAAAAAAAAGAAAGAAAATGGTTGAATGATTAATAATTTTTTTTTTTTTAAATCCACACAGTCAATATGAACAAAGCAAATTTAAATGAAGTTGAAACTGAACATCTGAATGCAATCCAGAACAGAATAGAAGATAATTGACGCCTCAAACCCACTGGTTCCTTCTATGATATCATGAACATGTCAAAAGAAATGAAGAAAGTTATGGCTCTCTGAAACATTCCCAAACATTTCAGTCTGTCACTGTAAAAATAACAATGCAACAGACTGGTGAGCCACACTTTGATTCTATATTTATATATTCATCAATATTCAATTTTAAAACAAATTCTAAAAATAATTTGTATTTAATCTATATTTTTAAATGTATTTATAATAAATTATTCAGTGGTGCATTTTACAGTGTGATGACACATAATATTTGAATCATATATTAGATAAATATTAGATATATAAACAAAGAAAAAATATATAAATAACTACTACTACTACTACAAAAATGTACTACAAGAATGTTGGAAAAACTCTAAATCATAAACCAATTTTATGTTTACATTTGAGCACCATGTTTACATTTTATCACTGCTAAGCTTTAGAAATAGAAATGTCTTGAGAGCTGTACTCAATGAATTTTCATTTTATATACACTCTGTGTTTACAAAATGACAATAAAGTTTGTTCAAGTCTAAGTCATCTATTTATTCCACAGTTTCTATTTATTTAAAGGAACTTTTACATTTATGTCCATAATATATTTTAGCCCTCCATGTACTTCAGGGATCACATCCCAATGATTATGAAAACCATCTTATGATGGTTTGTGTCTCACGACGCAAACATTTGCAGAAGTTTTTCCCTATTATGACACCTTGGAAATGCTCGTTCATCATAGCGTTAAGGAAGCAGATGGGTCCTATTAACTACTATATTTTGTTGCAAAACATATCACCCACAACTAAAAACAAAATACTTTGTAAATAGACAGGCTAATGCTGGTCATAGACAGCCCATTATCCACAACAACTCAATGGTTCTGATATGTACCACACAGAGAGGAAATAGTCATTATTTCAAGGCAACATAGAAAGCCATTAGAACTGAGGATTGCACTTACAGAGAAAGACTTGCTCTGTGGTCTGATACAGTTGGGTCAGATTGGTTTCATATTCATATTCGTTTGGAGGAAAAAGAGGGAGCATGTTTGAGAACAACATCCCAACTGTTAAACACAGTGGTGGCAGTATCATGCAGCGGGGTGTTTTGGTGTAGGAGGGACTGGTGCTGAGTGCTTTCATTAGGAAAGAAGCACAAAGGGGTCTATAACATTGAAAGTGACATTAATTATACTACTGAATAAGCTGCAAAGTACAGTGAAGATCAAAGCTAAGGTTTTGGAATGGGCATCGCAGATGAAAAATAAAACATACATATATTTTAGAATTATATACTGCCTCACCTAAAACAGAAAATATTTAGTCGGTCTAGATAGTTAGAAGAAAATAATCTTCATAATCAAGCTGGTTCTTTGAAGCCAAAAACAAGCTTCTAACTGTACTTCTGTTCTGTTTTCCATTAAGAATATACAGATCTCTGTAAAATAGTGTGATTTTCCTGAAATTAAAATAAATTCAGAGAATTAAAGAGATAAAATAAATCACCTGAAACTCAGAACTGATATAAAAAGGAATGCAGGAAAGAAGCATAACTTCCCAACATGAAGTCTTTCTGTATTTCAATAAATATTTTATGGATAAATGCCTCAATGATTTTAATGAGGTGAAAAAATATGTGACAAAAGCGTCAAACTATTTATAATTTCCTATGTTAGCCTTTACATGTCTGATAATAACGGTGGATTATTCTGTTGATTTCAGCTGCTGGTTGCAGAGCTTGATTTCCCTCCTTTCTCATCACTAATTAAATTCATTCAGAGAACTCGCCTCATGTCAGCCCAACCTGAATTAGCCTTAAATTTCTCAGATTTGCAATCTTGAGCAATTTCACTTTATTTATTTAATATTCAACAAGCCAATAGTGTTGCATCACATCTAGCATAAACTCGCTAAATGGGCCTTTTGACAGGAACGGTTTCATTTTGAGTGTAAAGAACTCAGACCAACCTTTTTGAATTGCTCATTTTGTTTGGGGAAAAAAAATGTATTGGGTAAACATCACATTTGCCAGGATGTTACCGAATCACAAAGCTTTCAAAAATAGTTCTCCAAGTGAAATTCAAAGACATCTTGGTGTCTCAAAATCCAGGTAATAATCAGGGAAATGCAAAATGTTTTTTTCTGTTTTTTCCTTTTTTTTTCTTCCTTTTTTTCCAAGTCTGTCTGAGGCTACTCTCAGGGTCTACCTAAATTTAAATAGAACTCTGTGACACTCTGGTTACATTTTATTATTGCATTTAAACAACCCAGATGACATACAAGTGTGCAGGTTTTTTTTTTTCCCTTTTTTGTCATTATAAAATAATTTCTGCATGACTTCAGCTTACTTCAGTTACTCTGTTGCATTCTTTAGGATATGATTGCAAATTGTGATAGTTTGCAGATATTGATTCCTAAGGTCTTGTTTGGTATTACTGTTCAGTCATTATCTCTGAAAATGAGCCTGCTGAGCCTTCACAGCTGAACTGAACATTTCATAGTCTGACTGCTGAGAAGCTTAACCTTGTGAAGACCAGCAAAAATATCTGAACGGTTTCAATTCTTGAGAATGATAGTTATTTCAATTCCCTTTAAAATCATAGAAATCAAATGCAAATGGGAATTTTAAAACATCCACTGCGAACCGTCCAACTAACCCAGTCAAGCTCCAGTATTCATTATATTAATGACATGTTAACAAGAAATCAAATGTCAACAAATAAGGTGATCAGATTTTGATTTGTAATGCTAGCAACAGTTCTGTTTGCAGAGGCAGATCAATGTTTTTTTTTTAGATATATTTATATATATAATATTATATGTTATATATATATTGTATATTTTGGAATATAAAGTAAATTTATGGCAGACTGCCTGCAGGAAAGAGGGGTAAAATCCATAGTTTCGGTCAAATCTTCGGTTTTCCAATCCAAGATGGGTGAAGGTTTGTTAAGTACCAAATAATATTTATACATATAATTCTTTAGGAAAGAAAACAATAATACCAAATATAAAGATTTCTTCTAGCTAGTATTTTCCCCACAAACTTAAATGTTTCAGATCAAAAAACCTTTATACACCAACCTTAAAAAGAGCAACTGCTTTCAAACATCCATGATAGCTGGCGTTGAATCTTTGACACTGCTCTAGAGGATTTTTATTTTTTATTTTTAAGGGCCTGTTAGTTGAGTTTGAATGGTTTGGTTAAATTCATGCCACAGTATCTCATTTTGATATTGGTCTAGACTGTGGCTAGGTCTTTCTAAAACCTTTGTGACCTTTTTTTGAATAATTCAGAAGTGGACTTCTCATTGGAATCAAGTGTGCCTCTATTGAGGATCAAAAACTGATGGCTTTCCCTTTTAGAGAGTTACATTTATAGCTCTTTCAACATGTTTCTAATGTTCTGAAGCACAAAGCAAGCCTAAACCATCACCCTGACACATATTTATACGGTGGGGTGTTTCTTTTCTGAAATGTTCACTTAGTTTTTGGATCTAACATGACAAACAGCTTTGCTAAAAAATTACTACTTTTTCTCCCATTTCTCCACAGAATATTTTCCCAAACTTCTAAGAGATTATCAATACTGGCCCATACATTTATTTTTATTTTCTTTCAACTCCAATTCCATTTTTACCTAGCCTTTGTCTGGCTTTTAAATCATGAACAACAACCTTGACTGAGGAAAGTGAGTCCTTTCAGTGTTTAACATGCTCTAAGATGTTTTGAGACTGAGTTTCTGCATTCTCTGAGCAATCTCTGTAGGTCATCCATGACTGAAAAGGTTTATCAGGGATCCATATACTCTCCCTTTGTGGATAAAGTCTCTGATTATGGTTGCTTCCTCTATGCTTACAGACAGGTCATGATGACATTATTTCTTGATTTAAAGGTTTAAAACGTTTGGATGGGGATATTCTTTTTTGATATATAACAGCTTTTATCCCATAAGAACTGAAATCTTTCATATAAAACTATTTATAGTCAGATTACCTTAGGCTGACGTTAAAGGTTCTACTGAGATTCTAAACATAAATGCATCAAAACAGAGGATGCTTTCACATCACTTCAGATCCTGCCATTGCCTCTTGATTTTTGTTACCAAGCCTGAAACCTATGGAGCATTATTAATGTATGGCTGCCGGGTTTGGGTGTGGCTGTATAGAACACTAGCAAAGCACACTAAGAAGAACAAACGGACATTAGAAGAAAATACTATTCAGAATACAAACTGTGCTGTAGCACTTTGAACACATTAGTCATACTGTACTTAGCAATTTTCCATAACAACATGCAGATAAACACATACTCTGATGCCTATGAATGATTAAATGTTGAGTTTTTGGGGGGGGGGGTTGTTTTGTTTTACTGGATGCATTTTATTCAGTTCAATTCATGATAAAAAAATAAAATAAAATAAAATAAAAACATGCTACTGACATTTGGTTTATAGTGGTTCAGCAATGTATAATCAGAGTTAAAATGAATTTGTCTAGTCAATAAGTTTAACACGATAAAAAAAAAAGATAAACCAGCTGATATGATCATGGATACTAATATATTGGCTGAATTGTTTTGAGTACCATTGCAAAGAAAAAGTTTAGTGAAAAACACCACCTAACAATTCTACAGAGAAAAAAAGTAGCCTTGGCAGGAATTATTATTAAATACACGCAATTTGCATGTAAAGCTAACTGTTAAAGTCAAACATTGATGGAAGTATTTGGGTTATCCCAAAATTTGCTTACCTCATTTGTTTTGATTGCGGATTCGCAAACACCTCCTCTTCAGTGGTGGCTCAAGCTCAGGGCTCCCACCTGCTGACAGTGGTGCACTTATGGAGCAGGACAGGATGGCCGTCTTATCCGCGGCAGGCTTTGGCACAGGCTGGATGACGACACAACCTCCGGCTGAGAGCAGTGGCAGGGCGTAGGCGTGTTCACCCTCCTCCGTGCTGGAGTCGGGGTCTGGCTTACTGTCCACTTTTGTGTCCAATTTCTCATCTTGTGCTGATATGCGTTTCCCTGCCTCAACCACTGAACAATTGTTTTCTTTCAGTGCCTCGTGTTCTAGATCACTATTATTTTGCAGGTCCTTACCCTCGCTTTCTCCTTTCCGGTCTGCATTTAGAAGGGAATGCCATCCAGTGCCATTGACAATTACATTACAAGGGGTAGCAGGGTTAGCTTGAAACTGGGGAAGGGCTAAGGACTGGGTCCTTACTGGAGTATGTAAGGGTGCAACTTTAAAATTAGAATTTAATTGACTGTCTTGAAGATCAGTTTTGCTGGAAAGCAGAGCTGCAGGGTCCAATGAATTATGGTGTACGCCTGCTTCCAGTTCTGTAAAACTGCCCTGTGGTAAAAGAGAGTCCTCCACACTATTGTCTATGAATTCCCTCCCAAACTCATCAGCCGGTGGGGATCTAGATTCCTCCACTTTGACCTGGACTCCAGCTAGAAGGGTGTGAATAAGCTGCTTTTGGCCTGGTTTTTGGCCAACAGTTAGATCAATTACACCATCAATCAGTTTGGGGCCACTGGAAACACAGAGACTGCCTGGATTATCTTCTGCCTTCAGGGCCAAATCCATGAATGCCGTTCTGCTTCTCTCACCAGGTACAGGAGAAACCTGTTCTCCACCAGCTGACTCTGTCCTGTGGTCTCCTTTGTCACTTCCAGAAGAACTTGGAGAATGAGGCCGAGAGGATGAAGCTTCTGAAGAATCTGGAGCACTGTGTAAAGAACTGCTGCTCTCTGGTTTGTCCCTGGATGTTTTTGAGTTAAAAGGGATTGGAATTGGGATAGGTATTGGAACTGGGAGAGGTACAATGACAGGGTAAGGGACCAAGAGAGTTGGCGGGGGTACCAATGGGGCTAACGATGGCATGCCAAAGTTCATCATTGGGGGAAAAGGAATGGGTCCGTTGGGCATCATATTGACAGGAGGAAAAGGCGGGAGTCCTGGAATGGGTAGGCCAGGGTGAGGTGGCATCATACCTGGATTAGGATTGGATGAATGGTGTACATGGGAAGACAAGAGGGGCCTGTGCATGGGACTTGATGCTGGACCAAGATTTCTTGGGGGAGGTGGTGGACCAATCCCAGGGATGATGGGGTTTGAGAGTGGGCTGTTAGGCCCTGCAGGATGGCCAGAGGGGCGAAGAAACGGCGGTCGGATCTGCTGCATCATTTGGTGTTCCATGAACAGAGGCAGGGGCATGGGTCCTCTGGGTGTCATCACCATGGGAGGACTACCTGAGGGAACTCCCACTGGTGGGTGTAAAGGAACAGATGGTGGGGGAAGTGTTGGGCTTTCGTGAGGTCTAGGTGTGGGGATTTTGGCTGAAGTAGATGAGGAAGGGGAAATGACTGCGACTGTTTCCGATGGTGATGTAGCAGAAGAAGTTGAAGAGACCAAGGCAGAGGCGCCGGAATGGCCCGCTGGTGAAGGAGCTTTACGCCGAAGATCTGTTAGTGGAGTTCCCCAGGATTCAGGAGTCAGCAGTTGTACCCCTCCACCGCAATCTGGTTTACCCTCCCCTCCAGCTCCATGTACAGGGTTACAAAGGGCTCCAGGCAGGGCAGCTTGGGTTTCCTTGTAGAAAATGTCCATTTTATACTGGTTCAGGCATTTGGCACTGCAAAACTGCAGCCTGCGCTCACCAGCACCAAAGTCCAAGTACTCCTTAGTGTGGCGAATATGTTTGCACCAGTCACATACCTGCAGAAAATAGAGCACATAAGGTATTCAACTTTTCATATATCTTGTTAACCTGATTGGATTTTGATTTAGTAAAATATCATCTAATTCGATAGGTTTGTTTATTACTATGTAAATAAACATTTCTCACTCAGTTTTCACAACTCTTTATTAACAGAAGTGAAAGCAGACATAATGTTCTGCTGCTATGCAACTGAGGTGACTGTCTTTCACAATCTGCCCACGCAAGACATTATCATTGCTCTTATTATTGGCCTGAAAGAGACACTAATTCTCAGTTTAGTTGAAAACTGTGACACAGCTAAAATATGTTCTTTCAGTGTCCTTCAACTGTAGGAATTAAATATCCTGCAAGTCAATGTAGAGAAATATTTCTATCAGCTTCTAGGGAAGCTGGTGCTTGATTAAGCAAATCTACAGGAGAATTGGGGGTATCAATTTCTCCTCTTTTTGGACGTTCAGCCATAATTTATGCTTTGATCTAGAGTAACAAAAATACTGTACAAAGTTTGTTCTAAACTCTCTTGAAAGCTGCAAACTGAAATCCAGAAGATGATCTTGATCACCCATTTTTTGATGTATGACCAACAAAAGAAAGAAAGAGCACTCAGTTATTCAAAATCAATTCAATTCAAAAGTTCTTTATCCATACCAAAGGGAAATTAAATGTTGCAGTAAATCATACGTTATTTTTCTAAACAGGTGTCGTAAGTGTTGAATGTTGTAGGCAGGAGGAACCTTCTGTAGCGGTCTGTCTTGCACCGGATCTGGAAAAGCCTCTTACTGAAGACTCTCTGTTGTTTAAAAATCTTCTGAAGATGATGCTCACTATTTTCCATAGTGTTCATCTCTTTATAAAGAATTCTTCTTTGTGAAATAATCTCCAGAGGTTCCGAGAACAGAGCTGACCTTCTTATTTCATTAGCTCTAATACAGTTACCCCGGCAGATGATGTAAGAAGAGATCACATTCTCCACAAAAGACTTATATGTAGCATTTTGTTGTAAACGCTGAAGGACCTAAGCTCCTTTAGGAAGTACAATCTGCTCTGTCCTTTCTTCTAGATGACTTCGCAGTTGTGTCTCCAGTCTATTTTTTTGTCCAAGTGAGCACCAAGGTATTTATACTCCTCAATCACCTCCACTTCTTCTCCCATGATTTTAATAGGTTTCAAGTTGTTCCTGTTTCTTCTGAAATCCACAATAATCTCCTTTGTTATGTTGACATTCAGGAGCAGATGATTGTTTCCACTTCATGCCACAAAGCAGTTCACCAGCTCCCTGTACTCAGCTTCTTGTCCATCTTTGATGCGCCAAATGACTGCAAAGTAATCTGAGTATTTCTGCAGATGACAGGACTTAAAACCTTAATTGTTGAAAAAGTGAGTATAGTATCTAGAGTAGCTACATATCTTTTGATGTTTTAAACACCTGTAGAGCGCATACTCCATTAGAAAGTAGACTGTCTAACATGAGGTAGGCTAGAAAATAACTATTTATATTCTCATTTATTGGCCTGGAAAATCTCACTACTTAATTTCGGAGGGTTAGTTCTGTAACATATTTGAACTCTCAAAATAATCTCCATTTCCTTTTTTTTTTACTTCAGTGTATTTTAGGAAATCCAACTTTTGAAAAATAAAATCACCCCTTATAAAAAATGTTTTTTTTTTCATTCAGTTTGAACTGAAACAGAAACTGTTGTTAATTCAACATTTACTTGGGATTTTCACTGAAAACTTTCCGTACAGAGAAAAATACAGGAATAATTGTTTGTCCATATTGCCCTATCTATCAGAAGTCAGTCATGGTGGTAGTGTGATAGTCTGGGGCTGCTTTACGACATGGATGACTTGTGATAATGTTTAGAGCCATGAACTCCAGCTCATCCTGAGGACTTTTTTATCCACCAACTTGTGACTTTAAGCTGAACTGCACTCAGCTTATGCAGCAAGACGATCTAATCTAAACAGGGTGAAAAGATGTCTGTATTTGTGCGGGACAGTCTCTCAATTTTTACTTTTGCTGTCCCACAATTTGGAGCAATGTACTGTATTAGATAAAAGTCAGAAAATATTTGCAGACGCTTTTCCCAAATGTGAAGAAAGCAGAGCTGCGTTTAATCTCACAGTGCCTCACACCATAACCAAGCTGCGCATGATGTTCTGAAAACTGAACAGGTGAAGGATTGTAATACTAGACATAATGGAAACTATTTTTAAAATCGTGCCACAATAGAGGCTACGGAATGGAATATACCAGGGTCAGGCCAAGAAAGGTGATTTTCTGAGAGATTTTTTTCTGAAGTTTGCTGAAGTTATTTTTAAATTTGATAGGAGGGGAGCAACATTGTCCCTCATTGTTTCTCCATAAGCATCCTAGTTGTCACACGTTTGATTTTTGGGATCTGGTCAGCCTACCTGCAAGTCCACATCTGTATGGCTAAAAATAAAAACTTTGGAATTATAAAAAGGCTTTGGAATTACTTTGTAAAAAGTCTAAATTTAGATGCCAATGGGATGCTGCAGGGTGGTCTTAAATAGCCCGTTCATACTTAAAAACCCCCAGAAGGAACTAAATTAAAACAATTCAGCATGAGGAGAGGGACAAAATTCATAGACAATGATGTAAACGACTCATTGTCCATTAGGAGAAATGCTGTAAGGCAGTTTTAAAGCCAAGAGTGGAAAAACAGGTATTAAATTTATGGGGCAATCACTTTTTCACATAGAGCCAATTTTTTTCTTTTTCTAACCAATAAAATAATACTTAAATAATTATACTTCGCTTATCCTAGCAAAAGTGGAAAAAGTCTGAAAGGAACTTATTATAGACCTTTACCTTTTTCATAAAGTGACAAACTTTGGCTGCCTTTCTATCAAATGTTGTATTTTATACAGCAACACTGCATCCAAATGAGAGCTGGCTCAATTTGTGAAATTTTATGACCCCTGCAGTGGCACCAATCCTAAAACAGGCTGCTGCGATCTTTCATCAACACCTTTACAGTGCAAAAATGTGCACATTTTTCTTGACGGAAGAAAATGAATGTGACCCCCAGTGGAGCAAATAGCAGTGGGCGAGCCCCGAACACGGCATCGCTCGTCAGGCCACACACAGCTCACTCTGTCTGCTCCGGGAGGAGTGGCAGGTCCTCGGTGGAGATAATTAAAGCATTAATCAGTTGTCAGACCCTTCAGCGACATCCATCCATCATACAGACCCTGTGCCCCCCTGCTGAATGTTAATAAGTTGAAGGATGCAACTGGAAAACGGATAAACTCTTGTTTTACTTAGTGAATAGCACCATTTGTTTATTTAAAATAATCAATTCTGACGGGGGCATAAAAATTATGGAGTTTAAAGGTTGCTTGGACAGATGGACTTTTAGAACTAACTTTTGTCTACTGCAGCCTTGAATAATGGGAAAACTGAAGTTTTTTTTTTAGAATGTGTTAACTTTAACTAATCCACTTTGTATGAGGAAGAATGTTAATAAAATTACACACAATGACCAAAGTAAACACATCCACAATAGATCTCAGACATAATTTCACATCAAAGCTCTGAAAGTCTCTTTAATTTTACATGCTTTAACTGCCCATTTAGTCCATACCAATCCAATGGGCCATGAAGGGGCAAAACTCCTAAAGGTGCTCTCACATGTTGAGTTTTATAATGCTAAACCGCAGATATTTTAAATAATAAATGTACCGAAATTTTCCTCGACTCAGAAAGACAGACGGAGAGCACTTAACGACTTTCTGCACTGTGAGTGAAAATTTCACTGCGCATTACACTAATGGAGTTGTGCTTCCTCTTTTACTCCCGTCTCGCTCCCTACTCCTGAACACAGATGTTTGCAGTTCGGCCTAATTATGGACATTTATTTTCACCGTGGCCAATGAACCAGCATTGGTGGTGTACTTTAACCATTTGCATTACAGTTATCTGACTTTGAAAGCAAGTAACCGCTGCATTCACCTGTTGTGGATGTAGAAAATTAGGAACCACCAGCTGGGCCTTGTTAAAGGTTACAGGGCAGAAAGGAACAAAGGAAATATCTGTCATGCATTAAAAAAAAAAGAAAACTTTAAAAATTGAAGAAGAGAAAGAGTTTACAGATTTAAAATGACTGCAGAATGTAGGAGTGGTTCAAAGTGGTAAAGACTAGTTAATGAAGAGGATTCTCAAAATAAAATGGTTAAGGGAGACTGTCATTAACATAATGAAATTAATAAGAAATTATATTTTGTTTTTAGAAAAACTGCTTCTTACAGCTTCTTTTTGCAAAATGTAATTACAAAGTGAGTACTCACCAATCTCACTACTACTACTCACTATTTTTGCCACATTATTCACCTGTACCTTCTCTCTTAGTCTCTACCAGCGTGCAGCTTAAGCTTGAGTTATCTGAGCCTGCATTAGTGGTTTCAGCCTTGTAGTGGATGTAGACATATTTTTAATCAGCTGATATGCAGTATTGGTAAATGAAGAGGAAAGAAATTTTAGTATAGATAATTTCTGAGATGATACATCAGTGATTTTGATAAAAGGGAATCCAAATGTCTGTTGTGCAGCGGCCTATAATTTTTTATTTTTTAAAAAATCTGATTTAAACTTTGTTTTTGCTCAATTTATTTGTTAAAAAAACGGTAAGTTAATAAAAATACCACGGGACTGAGAGTACGATTTTGCACTAGTCTTCAGTAGGTAAAGTAGGAGATGTTGGGGCTAAGCCAGTTTGCATCTCCCAGTTAAACTGTGAAGGTAACAAAGAACAATTCAAGATCAAGTGTGAAAAAGCACAATTAGATTAAAGAGAGATAATACTCAAATAGTGCATTAGATACAGTCTGAACATTGCACTGAAATAAACAGAGTCGGACTAATTCAGAACTCATTAACAATGCAGTTACCAGGAAAAAGCATTTTGATGTGTTTAATTTGCAATGACTTCTGTTTATTTATAAAATTGCACGGCAATGCTGGGGTAGATTTACTGGGAAGTCTGCAGACGCTGGTTTCTTTTCATTACTTCACCCCTCGTGTTTTTCTGCCTGGCATCTCCTGCTTTTTGGTTTCCTATTTATTGTTCTTAGATTTATGCTTCTGTTGCCATTTGTTTCTAAATTAAATCTGCAAAAACTCATCTATGCCTCCTACTACTCTGGTTTTGGGTCCTCGACATCCACCAACTTTAACATTAAAAAGTTGTACACAACCAGTGTGTTCAGGCCTTTACACATTAATTTTCTGATAGTTCTATGGTGCTGCCAATAGATGGCACACGTGTCTCTTTATGTCGGCTCATTTTACCCTGCACAGGAATTCTATTTAGGCTCAGAAAAGACTATCTAAAATTTAACAGGACAGACGCATGGTGTATAACACTTTGTTATGATCAAATGTTTTTGGCCTTCTTTCCATAGGCATAATATATGAGTATGCCCCTTTACTAAACACAGAGCTTATCATAAAGCAAAGTAATAAGAAAGAAATACTTAAGACAAATCCTGAGATACAAGCCAGCACTGAAATTAATCACTTTTCATTCTGTTTGCAAAAGAATTTAGTTGGATTACAATCCTCATATTGTATGCAAATACTTATTAACCCTGCTCTGCTCAGAGAACTTGGTTGATGAAGTTTTTTATCTAAGGAAAACCAGCGGATTGCATCCACCAATTGACTCAAAGGCAATCCCTCACACCAAGCATGCTTGTAGCGACAGTGGGGAGGAAAACTCCTTTTTAGCAGGAAGAAATCTCCAGCAGAACCAGGCTCAGTGTGAGCGGCCATCTGCTGAGGCCGACTGAGCCTCTTCAATACTACTAACTGTCATGATTCTGCCCTTTGTGGACTTTTGTTAAAGTTTCTGTTTAAGTTTACAGTTACCCTTCAGTTACACTTTGAGTTATGTCATATTGTATCATGGTTTCTTTTCAGTTTTGGTTGATATTTAAGCAGTATTGTATTTTTTTGTTTTTGTATTTTTACTTTTTCATAAAATTTTGCAAGAAATCTTCCCTGCCTGCTTCTACTCCTACTTCAACTTCATAAACCCTGACAAATAACAATACATATATAAAATACAAAACGTCAACAACCACATTAGGAAAGCCTTGTACACACAAGCACAGTAAGTAAAATACTCAACTTCTATGTAGTTTTCTTAAGCTTGTAAAACTAGTTAGATATTAGTACAGAAACCAAACAGATAAGGAGAGATAACAATAATGCTTTTTTGTAATAAACAAATGTGAACCTTGCAATTTTTAGTTTATTTCCCCTGGTTCAATATTATTAGAATAGCGTAGTCATATTATTACTTTAGTTTCTATAAAATGTATAAATGCTATTTTCTTGCACATTAAGATACTTTTTTCTTAGAACCTTTTCACTCCTTTCCTCTTGGTTTACTAGACTCTCTGCATTTGTATTCGGCTTCTTTTCAGGCTTCCTTTACCTAGTCTTCCTCCCTCAGTCTCTCGGCCTTCCTTCTTTGCTCCACCTTATTATTTGATTCTCACCTGTATTTTGTAATTTTCTACTCCACCAGCTTATACGTCCACTGGTTATAATTTATTTAAAATTTATTTCAATATTTTCCCCTTGCTGGATCCTTCAGTTATGTACCTGTCCCTCTGACTTTGTGTCAAGTTCTGTGAATTTTTCAATGGTATCGTTAAATGCATTGTTACGTCCACCATTGAGGTCAATTGGAGACTTTGCTAAAGGGAAACAATTTAAAATCCTCTCATCTTTGCTAGTTTAGCCCTGTTCTTTTCTCTTTATTTTATATTTCATCTTTCTATTAGGATGCTCTGATCCCAAACCTGGATCTAATATTGGTTCCAATATTGACTAAATAGCTTGTGTGGATATCTGTAATTTGATATCGGATGTCAGAGTGCCAATACAGAGCACTTTCATGGAAGTGTTATTTATTTCTTTTTGATAATTATTTATTAATAAATAAAATAAAGCACAACCTGAGGTGGGTATTGTACTCAAAAACTGCACTCAAGAAAGAGTAGCACTATTTAAAAATTTTTTTCAACCTCTCAAAACCGTTTTAAAGCGTTTACTAATTATTACTCAGAATGCATGAAAATTAAACTGGTAAAATATTAATTGGAAAGCTTAGATTCTCCACCATTCAACCAGCTAGTTCATTTTATGGACATAGCGAGCACCAAAGCACAATTATAGCAGCATGTCGAAATGTCGCATGACAAAGCAGCTACAACAAGCAAGCATGTCTTTATTACTGCTGTTGAAAAAAGACTTATTTTCGAGAATAAAAAAACAACTTTGAGTCATGTTTGACCTGATGCAGCTTGGGCTTGACGCAGTTTGGGTGTTTTACTCACCCGATCTTCATGGATATATTCAGAAACTAGAAGGTGTTAGCTTCCAAATAACATATCACACATGTAATTTGGGCTTACAGTTCCTCAGTTATTTGCTTTTCCATTTCGGTATGCAAAATAGACGAATTTCCCAGAAATGAGGTGGATATTAAGAGGGTAATCAAGTAAAAGCAAAAAGTATTTAGTAAAAAGGCTACTTGGGAACTAAACAATTGTCAGATACTATCATCTTTAATGTTTAGAAATTGAATAATAAATTTGCATACGTGTTTACGTTTATATCCTAACAGAGTCAAATTTCACTAAAAATAAAAAAGAGCTAATACAGAACAGTAAAGGACACCAGCTTTGAAATAAATTCAAATAAATACTTCATAATCAGTTCAACCATTCACGTTCTTTCATTGACTCAAATAAAGAAACAAAAAAATTATGTTCCTTCTTTTATTGTCATCTGCTTCTCAGAGGTTAACGAGCAGAAGTAACAGACCCAGGAGAGAGACCTTAAAAACATCCCCTCAGGATGATGGTGTCACCACCATGCTTCACCTTGGGGGTGGTGTGTCCAGGGTGTTGTGCTGTATTAGCTTTGATTTTACAAAAAGAATATCAGTCCTACTGGTTTGCAGTTATATCATGCTTCTTTCCATTTTCACAAATAAGTTGATTCTATTGACGAACTAGGCCACTATTTTTGCACGTCAGTATCACTTTACTTGGATTTAGCTATACATAAGCATATATATACATATATATACAGAAGAGTTTTATATATATATATATATATATATATATATATATATATATATATATATATATATATATATATATATATATATATATAATTAAAGTATTTCTGATTCTGATTTCTCAAAAGAAATGCGTTGCACTTAATTTGATTTAAGGTTTTTTGGACTAAACAGAAATGCATGCCACACTTCTAAGATTGATTTATTGTTGATTTATCAAAAAAAAACTCAATAAAATACAAATGTAATGATGGCTGTAAAACCACAAAATATAGATAGTTCCAGAGGGGATGAATATTGAATATATGTCTGTCTTTTTGTAACAGGACATGATGCATGACAAAAAAAAAAAAAGATTAAAAGCACAAAAAAAGTTTTCAAACATCAAAATGAAATGAATGCAAGCTCTGAAGGACTCAGAGCTGAAGCTGTGTCTGGTATTAAATGGTCATGATTCTTACAAGAACATCGCTGTTTGTCTTGAAGACAAGCCGGGGGGCGTCCCGAGTTAAGACGTGCCGGGGTAATTTCCCTCCAAGGCTGCCGTCGTCTCTCGTCTGAGGAGAAATAATGGCTACTTTTTAAGGATGGACAAATAAAACAGGTGAACAGAGGCAACAAAAAAAAAAAAAAAAAGACAGAAATACAACACAAGTGTGATAAAAAATGATGAACTGAAATGGTGGTTGTAAAGTTTTATGACAGGCCAAGTAAACATGCAGACATGCTTGTGTAGTTTTATTTTCACCCTCGGATATCTGAAGTAAAAGGGCCACTTCAGAATGTTTTTAGTGATGCCCGAATACTGTGACCAGCAAAAGTATTCATTGATCCCAAAACCTTTTTATATTTTGTCATTTTAAAAATAAAAAAAAAAGGCCAAACTATCCATATGGGGCTGCGGGGATGTTCATCTTAAGGAAGGACGGGGAAGCTAATCAAAGTTACTGGATAGAGGAGGACAGAGATCATTACAAATACAGGGTAATCCTGGGAGAACACCTGCTTCTATGCTGCCAAAAGACTTAGAAGTGGGGTGGGGGTAATGTCATAGTGATGTTAGAGTGGCCTAGTCCAAGTCCAGATATGATCAGCTGTGGTAATAGTTGAAAGTTTTTTAAAAAGTTAAAGAAAAAATCTATTTGATGTACAAATCTGAGACGGGCCACAAAATGCTTGGAATCTAGATTGTGCAAAACACAAATTTTCAGAATTTAATTTTTCTAAAAAAGGTTGAAAACCATGCAGCCGCCTCCTAAGTATGCTCTAGTTTGTGTTAAATGACCGGGTAAAATCCCAACAAGCTAGACTGAAGGCTAAGGTTGTATTTTAAGAGCAGAGAAACACTTATACACTGTAAAACCAGATTAAAAGTCATTATTTGTTTTTAAAAACTATTTTAAAATGTGTTCCTAATCTACTTAACATACATAGAATAACACAACTCCTGCTGAATGGATTTTGAAGTGTTTTTTCTGCCTGAGCTTTTATTTCTGAAATATTTTTTTTTTATTTGTATTCATTACTTTCTTTTTGTTTTTTAAAACAAAAGGACTTTTTACATAACTTTATATTATGGTATGTTTAACTTGTGTCATTTTAAACAGTAATACAGGTACTAAGTACTCAGTACTTGAGGCAGCCTTTTTAAACAAATACTTTTTTATTCTAACTTAAATAATTTATTGGGTGACTAATTTTTACATTTACACAACTAGAAATTGGTCAAGAGTAGTGCTACTTTTACTTGAGTACATTTTCTTGGTATTCTACCCACCCCTGATTGTCATTTAAGTGAGTACCTTATTGCAGCATTAAAAGTACAATCCTCTCAAACATGGATTCAAGCAGGATTTTATGCACAGTGTAATTTAATTCAATAAAAGAAATCCAGGGAGGTGTTATATAATCGGGTCAGACTGTGCAGCCAAACACTCCTGAACATCTGTTGTGATAGAAGTTTGTTGTTAGTTATGGGCCCCTTAAGGTGTATCTTCCCCTTAAAGCAGTAAAATGTCAAACACTTCATGAAAAAAGTTACTTTTTGGTGCAGTAAACTCTATTAGAGTATTCTACATAATTTCTACTCTGTATTTCTTAGCTTCGGTAGAAACTAGAATTTCCAAAGTAAAATTAAACCTTTTTTATGTAATACATGAATTTTGGGAAAAGGGAAAGTTTTACTTAGATTCCCTTATACTATTTCAATGTTTAGCAGCAGTATGTACATAAACCAAAAAATACTACATAAACTTTAATCTAAAAATGTAGCATTTTGAAACGCAAGCACTATAACTCAGCTCCGAGTCCAGAGTTACAGAATCACACACGGAGCAGGACGTAGTCCCGACGACAGTCATTTTGGCAGGATGCAACAGTCCTGCAAAAGCCTGCTCGCTGCTCATGGAACTGATATATGCCCTGAACTTGGCATACCCTCCCACATTGCACTACACTTTTTAAGTCTTATAAATACTTTTCCAGGAGTTAGATAGAATTAAACTGTCCCCAAAAGTAAACAACCTCAAGTTGAAGTTTCTTTCCTAAATGAATTCATGACTTGGTCATCTTAGGGTAGGAAAATGTGACATCAAATGCCAAGAATTAGCAGTGGGTTCCAATTAATCTTAGTGTCATTAATGGTTTTTATTTTTTGCTAAATAAGATACAGATACTTTTTTATTCAGTATCTATTAGAGATTTTATTCTACATTGAGATGGTTAGACAGTTTAAGCTGTTCATTTTTAATTTTGCTTAGGGCGTCACAGTGGTTAGCGCTGCCGTCTTGCAGCAAAAAGGTTCTGGGGACATTAAAAGACAAACCCTTTGTATTCTATCGGACCTGGGGACCTTTTCTCTGCTACCTTGATGTCACCACATCCCGTAGAGTGAGGTCAGGACTTATGGAACTGGCCTGGGAAAAAGACCCAGAGTTATAATGTGACAAGCTATCATATTTGTGTGGATACTATATATACATATATATTTTGGTCTCCCTGATTACTCGTTGTTTTTTTTTCCTCTTTTGTTTATTTGTTTCATTTTATTTATTTCTTTGTTCTGTGTATTTTGTTTATTATGTTAGGCCTGAATTTCTGTATTTGTTGAGCACTATCTGTGCTTTCTTTGCTGCGGCTCCAGCGGCTTCTGCTTTGCAAGAAAAAGTTTAATAAAAATAAAGTTGAAAGAAAAAAAAGGTTCTGGGTTCGATTCCTGGCCCCTGGTCTTTCTGCATGGAGTTTGCATGTTCTCCCTGTGCATGCATGGTTCTTTCAAGGTACTCCTGCTTCCTTCTGCAGTCCATAAACATGAATATTAGGTTAATCGGCTTCTCGTAAGTGTGAGTATGAATGGTTGTTTGTCTCTGTGTTGCCTTAAAATTATGAGTAAATGCTGTTTGTGCCAATGAAAAACAGGTGCACTTTACTTAATTTGTTTTTTTGTTTTTTTTAAACTAACTTACAACTTGGATGTAATTAAGGAAATGTTACTTAATATCTGTTATGTCTTATGGAAAGTAAAATTCACATGATACTGGCAGGTGAATGTTACTTGATATGGCAGCATTCAATTTGACTTAAATCATTTGCATGCAAATACAATATATTTTTAAAGTAAATCTTATGAGTTGTTTTTTTCAGTGTATGTGAGACTATGTTTCCTTTACTATGCAATTCATCAACTCTAATTTGTAAGGGCAATTTCATTCTGAAACTTTTTAAACTGCTAATAAACGTTGCCAATAGCAGGCCAGTCTAATCGTTGATGTGTTCTACAGACTCCAGACAGCTAAACGGACATTAACTGGGGAGAAATCTGAGGACTCAGAAAACTCTCCGTGGCAAACACACAGTCTCAAGACTGAAGAAAGCTGCAGCAATGTGCGATTATTCAGCCTCCAGTTGGTGCTCTGACCCTCTGGCCCCGTTCCAGATCATTTGCATATTGTACTAATGAGGTGTTGGCACCATGAACAAGGCTCAGGGCTCGCAGAGAGCCACACAAAGACAGACATCGATGGAGAGACAGATATGAAGTGTTATTTTAAGAAAAATTTGATCATGAGAAATATTTAGAAATATTGAGCAAATGAATTTTATTGTTTAATTTATATCTATCAGGAGCAAATGAAGTACTCATCAATACTTCATCCATCTATTCAAAGGAAGATATCCTCCTCATGACTGCCCTCTCTTGATGCCGCGGTCCAGAGGGGATGTAAGACCTGCAGACAGTCGACATGCTGTCTTCCATCTGGGCACGCACACCCATCCAGGTGTGTGTGTCCATCACTTGCCAAAAATAACTTCTCTTCTACAATAAACAATGTTTTCTAAAATAAGACACCAATGTTGATGCACACAGTGCATTATGGAGCTGATTGTTGATTCCAAACCATAAAAGTGCATCCCACATGGCAGCAGGCAAATAACAACTGTAAACCCTCTGAAATATATATATAAAACAACAATTAACCCAAACATTACTTTGCTGTTTTTCCTCTGTGATGTCTGCACATTGCACAGCTTCTATTTTACTCTACTCTTTCTGAAGGGTGCAGCTACAGTTGCATCTGCTAAAAAGAAAACTTAAGTCACTTTCAAGCAGTTAGACCTTCTTGTCATCTTTAGAAAATGTCTTGATTTGTTGGACTTTGGGAACTTTTATCTGACCTGTTAATCATTCAGGCATAAGAGGTCCACAAATCTCAAGGGAAAACATTCCAATGGTAATTGCTGTTGTCATAACAAGCTCTCTGGCAAAACATTCCTGAATGTGAAAAAGATTATACTATCTATAGTACGAGTTAAAGAAATGTCACAAAGCCATCCAAGTTCATGTTTACTTTTACAGTCTTCACGTCTTGTTAGTTGGAGTTTTACTTTTTTCTTTATTTGAGCTAGATGGCTGGCAGCTATGAGATAATCACCTTCCTCTCTGTGCCCTGCAGCGGTGTAAGGCAGGCCTGCAGGGCTTCCCAAGCTCCAGCGGGCCTCAGCTGCAACGTGCAGACTCTTTACAGTCTTCATCACATGCACAGAAAAATTCACACACACCGAGGCACGTACAGAGACACACTCTGATAGATGTCCTCATCGCTCTCGTACATTTCTCCCACTATGGCAGCTGATCGAAAAGCATGGAGGGTGGAGAAGCAGGGAGGCAGGTTTGTGTGCATGTTGGAGGTGATGTGACATTTCTGGGCTGACATGAAGCGACACTCTGCCCCCTCGTGCCTGGAGCGAGCTCTCGGGGAAAGACACTGATGGAGGTCTGAGGTCTCATAGGAGAAGGTGGGGGAGGTTTGATGGTGTGAACAAGAAAAGGAAAGTGTGTGCTGCAGCAGAAACAACCTGCGAACTGAAGTCTTCCCATGACATGCTTTTAAATGCTCCTCTTTTCTTAAATAAATCATGATAGGAAAAAGAAGTAGTTTGTCATTACCAAGATGGCATTACAAACAAACAAAAAACCCCAAGAAGATAATATAAAGTAAAAATTATAAAACTCAATTGCTTAAAACAAAGATAAATTAGTTATTTTATCAGGAACAAGCAGAATTTCTCCACAGTGGCAGCAACGCATGGGTTACAAAAACCCTGCAAAAAAGCTTTTAAAACACAAATTCTTAAACCACCTTCCATATTTATTACTACCCTATTAAAACTCTTTACGATTCACTTTACTGCAGTGCAGAAATGTACCCTCTAATTTAAATACTTTCTCACAACTAGTTTTAGCACCCTCTCAAAACAGAGAAAAATCCTAGTAAGTGATGCACTATAATAATAAAGTAAAAAAATGTTAAAGCTGATCACTCTTTGTAGGAGTCGTTATTTAGTGATTTGTACCTAATTGCATAATGACAAGAAGTCATCATGCTTTTTTACTTAAGTGCAAAAATTACAGTAACAGGAATTCACTTCTTCCGCTAGTTTTACAGTTAGAGTATGGATCCTTTTGGATCTAGAGGTGACAATGACCTGGGTGACTGAAAATCTTCACCAGCATAACTATAGCTGGGTTTCCATTACAAATGTGTGCAAAACCATGTCATAATTCTGCTCAATTCTAAAACGCTCATTTTCAGATTTGCAGTATTTCCATAAGAAATAAAATGCAATCAAAAATGTAAAATATCCACATGAATCCAAATATGCTCCGCCACCTCCTACTGCTTCCTGTCTCTTCCTTCATCTGTTTACAGGACGGTAAGGTCCAGTTGATGATCATGTGACCTGTGTGATGCGTAAAAAAGGGTTTCCAACCAACCGAAAAACCAACCAATCAAAGCGTAAAGAAACTGTATTGTTTCCTTTTAGCAAATTTATTCTCGTAATTACAATGGTAATGCAATTTAAAGGTTGAAAATGCAATTTGTAACAACCAGGATTAGCCATATTTATTTCACAACCATACATATTGGCTTTTCTGTACCTTCATCACAGACATATTGAATTTTTTTTTTTTTTTTGATATAACCCAGTAGGTGAGTCTAGAAGTAAAAAATGTATGATAATAAAACAACTAATATGTAATGGTTTAGTGGAGGATTCATACAGCTTTTTAACTTTGGAAAGGAAAGTAAAAAAAAAAGATTAATACATTTTATTATTATAACAGTTCAGCTAATAAGGTCTCCAAAATTCCCAGTAAGGACCCCAAGAGTGTCATTTGCTTTTCTCATGTAAGGTGTACACATTTAAATAGTCACTGATGTTCTCTAATCTATTTGATTTAGCAAATTTTAACATTTTGCACACTGCAAAAAAAAAGAAGAAAAAAAAAACAATCTGTGACACAAAAAACTGAACTCAACCCCAATGATTCAACAGCTACATAGTGATCTGCTTCTCCCACTATCTCAGCATTCGATTTACATGTGAATACGCTGAATACGGAATAAAGGATGACTTTGCTATTCATTATTATCTCCTGTGATAAAAATTAAAATGTTTTTGGCTTAAAATAGCTTTTCTGTTAATTTGTTTTGGAAAAATACTGCATAGACTGCATGGCTATGTCATGATTTGCTGGACTTCACATTTATTTACAGGCTATTTTCTGTGCAGTTATTATTATTATCCCAGTGCTTCTTCTGAGTTTTCATTTGCTGTTGTGTTCAAATTCTGTATGTGTAAGCATGTAGTACCATTACCAGGTTTGTCTCCTCAGCCTTCCTTTCCCTTCAACTTGCAGCTTGGTCTTATCATCCACCCATCCAATTATTACAGATCCAGCACTTATAAATCCTAAAATCTATTTGGCCCGTTTCCCCTGTGTCTTCAAGCGCTCTATATGTTTATTTACTTTTATTTTATTTCCTTAAATGTCATCTTTGTTGTGATTCTGCCTCCTTCCTCTCTGCTGCTGGGTCCATCCATTACATGACGAATTATGTTTCAATACTTGAAATATTGACCATGGATAACTTACGTATGAGCAAAATGAAAAGCTGATCACTTTAATCGGACAGCAAAGGTAACTTGTGCAACATTAGGGATCTGCGTTACAATTCAAACTTCATGCTGTGTTATGTACTGTATGCATGTTTCTTACTATACGAGCGGGAGTTTGATAAATGTGAACCTTGCATAATTTAATCATTTTAAAGGAGCTGCAGCTAAGGAGCTTTTCATCAACAGCTGAAGGCTAACGTGATTTGTTTAGTTCATGCAAACAGCCCAAACTTTTCAAAGAACTTCAGCATCATTCCCCAAAGATTTTCAGTGTGTTGAGCTGTGATTTTATGTATGTCATTAGCAGAAGAGACACAGAATAATTGAGTGCTGGAAGTTTAGAAGTGGTTTCTTCCATATAAATGAAGAGGCTAAAGACACAGTAAACAGAAACACAAGTGATTAGCTTGAATTAAACTATCCATCATCATTCACTGCACACAGACAAGCCCCGGATAATGTGGAGCTATGCAGAGATGTGAGAAAGTCGCTACCGTCGTCACACGAGAAGGGGATTAGACTTCATGAGGGAAGCAGCTGAGGATGCTTCATGCAACACGATTCCCACTCACAACCCCCCCACCCCCCTATGTCTACACCTCTATCCAAAGCGTGCACAAACATGGGGAGATGTGAGGAATAGGAGAAAGCCTGCAGGCCGCTTTGCTGTGTGCAGCCTTGTGGGTGCATGGGGAAAGAAACATATGGGTATCGTTTACACAAATGGACTGCATAAATGTGCGACAGCCAGACAAAATATGGAATCTGAGCCACTGAGGGAGAGGAAAACTGTTCTGTTTGGGATGTTTGAACACGTGCATTCTGCCGATGAAACAGCCAGCATGTCTTCTTGGCAAATAGAACAGCTGCAGGTTAATTATTAAAAGCGTGCATAATCTGTTGAGGTGAAAGTTGACTGCACCAAATAAGAAAACAGATTACACTAAAGAGAGAGTCATTTGGGGGGAAGATGTACCATGTCTTACACACAATCATTTTCTTCATCTTCCAAATATTTTAAGTGATATACCATAAATTTATCAACTGTTTTAGTCTGATATCTCTTAATAGAGCCCAGTGTAGCTTAGCTGCAATCTGAAATCCTTTAACATGCAAATCGAGAACAACTGTAGATAGAACCATCTCATGGATGACCAATTAAGATTAGGCTGCAATACATAAAAAAAATGTATGTTAACAGATACTGTTCATATGAGGGCATAATTTGTCTGGAATCCCAACAATACAACGTATTTTCTGTTGGTAAATCAAATAAAACGAAAATAAATTAACTTAGGTTTGAGTTGGAATTTAAGAGAACCTGAAAAATTTCCCGAAATATGAATACTTTGCACTTTACCTTATCTGAAGGCATGTTCCAGGGCGGCGAGACAGTGGTGAAGTGTGTGGTAGGGGTAACAGATAGGTTTAAGGTGGGTTTGGGATAACAATAGGGCTACAAATGTCTTAATGGGAGGCAGGCAGTTAGAAAGCTGAAGCTAAATAATGAAAGTGGAGGAGATGACGCAGCTGGGTTCAGTCATATTGCATGAAAAACGGCTCTTGGTTTATGGTATCAGTCTTTTTTTGCCCACATGTTTCTTTCTCTTTATGTATTTTCACTTCATAATCTTTTTTCCTGTTTTTTCTTGACTACATTTTTTATCTATTCTTAATCTAGACAGTGTAATAAAAGCAAGAAACAAACCTCAAATAAGCTTTTTATTTAGTATAATGCAATAACTTCCCTGGTTAATCTGCGCAGATATAAATGAAACATGTTTAAAAGAGGTATTTTTTTTTATGTAGTATAAAGTTTAGTTGTTCTTGCACCTGTCAAAGTTTCCCACTGAGTTTCAAATGTCATTGAATGCTTTAAATCACCAGAGGGAGCTGAGCTATCTGTCATTCTGTCAACATTTAGTTGATTACACTCTACTTTGATGCTAAACAAAATCATATTTAAAAAAGCACATTCGAATAATACTATAAACAATAATACAGCAGCTGGAACATTCAGGTTGAATTTTACATGCTTTGGGAAATAGTGTCAGGGAAGAGAGACATTAAATGAAGAAAGTTCAGGTGCATTTATCTGCTGTAGTGTTGTGCTTATTTGGATGAATTTCAGGACGGACAAAACGTAGAGTGAAATATGATATACTCACTGTATAATTCCTTATATATCCCAGCTTGGGTATAAAAGAGAAAGGAGATTTGTTTAACCACAGCAAAGAAAATGAGAGTGCAGTTAAACAAGATTTAATTTAGTAGGTAGAGCAACCTCCACTATTAATGGTGGTCCTGGTAAAGGTGTTTGAAAAGGTCTTCAAATCAATAATCTTTTACTGCAGGAGTACGATCTAACACTGAATAAGTTATAAAAATCCCGCTTTAAATCCAACCTTTTCAACAGAAGAGCAGCACATTCAGAGCCTCAACAATTCATGTAAAAAGCAAATGAAAGTTAAAGATTTTTTTTAGGTTGATTAAAGTGTCCAGGAAACCTTTGATTTGCAGTGCATACGTTCCTGTTTCTCTAAGGGTATAAATATGAGATAATACAGAGGAGCAATCAGTCACTTTTTAAAATAGTGAAGAAGTAAAAAAACATTATTCAAGTAAAGTTGATGTGCATTGATCCAAATAAGTCAGGAAAGTATAAGACTTACAACCAAAATATGCTAAAAGGCTACAAGAAGATAGCTATTCAATGATATATTATATTTACCTATTACACAGCTGCTACAAAAAGTTACTGCTTTGATTCCAAAACTGCAAATTGCAATCTATTTGAAAACTTCAAATACGTTTCCTGCAGAGAGCAGTGTAAAACTTTTATTTGTCATATCTGGAGGTGCATTATCAACTAAGATACAACCTATTTATTCACATATAATCCTATTTTATTGAATATGAGAAACTAATAATTTTTATCCGGAATGGTTTCTGTCTCTGGACAGTATGAACTGTATTGTGTGTTTGCACTGAGTCCATATTAGCTGCTATGCTGTGAGCAATAAACATCAAACTCACTAGATAAGGAGTTATCTATGATGCAATAAATTATATTTCTGATAGAAACTCTCTGCCCAATTTTAATAATAGCTTTTGAGAATAAGCAGTCAAATGGTAGCATTAGACTAGCTTTGTGCATGTGCAAGTACGCTGATGATAAATGTATTTATTTGGCCTAATCTGAAAACTAATAATTCAATTTATATTTTTGTGTAAATATGAAACGTAAAAGAAAACATGAGAGAAAAGCAAATAGCTCATAATGTTATGTTTGTGATTAATCAGTTTCGTAGTTAGCACTAAAGATTAGTATCAGGACATCCTCAAGCCTTAAAAAAAAAGAAAAGAAAAAAAAGGCACTCGGAATCAGATCTCCAAAAAACGGGAATTTAGGATTTTTTTTTATTTTCTTTAGCCAGAGCACTAAAACAACTAACTTCTGTCTGTGGAGATCCAGTTTCTACACCTCAGCAGAAAGTCATCAGGGTGTTAATGTTCACCCTGTTCACTAAAGGTTTTTTATTTTTTTTAATAAAACCTATCACAGAATTTAGTGGTTTATAGGCGACTACCTTAAAAACATGTTATTACTAAGATAAGAAGGAAAAATTGGAAGACAACACAAAGTTGGAAATTAGTAAAAAATTATAATTCAAACGTGAATTGAAAGTTTAGAAACGTAAATACAGATATTAAATTACATTTACATTTCTCCCTCCTGCTGCAATTATTTTCAACATTTTTATCAACTGAAAAAGTATATAAAATTATAAAATCATTATTAATATAATAACAAAAGAATTATTATCAGAAGCCTCGCTGCAGAAAAAAGAAACAAAGGGACGAGGGGAGGCTGCCTACTCCCGCTTTACTCAGCTAGTCTTGTGGCGGCCACCGTAGCTGTTGTCTTTTTGGCGAAACAGCGCAATTGCATAGAAGAGGGAATCTAAAACTAAATCGATATCATCGATAGGGATGTCCCGATCCCCATCTCGAGATCTTATTGACCCTGATCTTTTCATAATTTCCAATGATCGGAGCTCGCAGATCTGTACATACAACTGCCATAATGTACCAACAAGTAACGGCTGCCAGTAGCTGCGGAATACAAACCTCCATAGAAAGCATGTCAGAAGCGTGGACATATTTTACTCCCGCAAGCAAAGACTGTCCTAAAGCTACTTGCAATGTCTGCAACATTGCAATTTCAAGGGGAGGTAGCAGCAGAGCTACATTTAACACCACAAACTTGATTCAAAACATGACAATGTGTATGAAGCGTTTTGTGAAGCTGCAGATGGAAAGGTTGCTAAAGCAAAGCAACAAGGGCTGGACGTTATGAGGAGTGACAAATACTCCAACGAAAATAAGAGAGCAAAGAAGTTCACAGAAAGGTTGGTCGAATTTGTTGCTCTTAACAACCAGCCCATCTCAGTAGTTGAGAATGTTAGACTAACTCGTGTTCCGGAAGTTTTGGACCCCAGCTATGCTCTTCCATCGAGACACTACATTGTGACTATTTGTCAATCTGTTCACACCACATTTAAGATGAGAAAGGGCATTTAAAATTTGCTCAGTACATTTCGTTTTTTATTGACATTATGGCAGCCTATGTTAACCACTAATAAGCTAAAAGTGAATCTTGGATAGCACTTTCTTTTTGATAATACTGTACCAAGTCAGTGTTTTTCTAAAATATTAAATTGAAGCTGACCTTTAATTCTCAGTAAGATTTTGATTTCATGGGATTTACAATAATAATGAAATATTAGTCTTATTAAAAGTTAAGTTTTATACATTTCAATACTGAAATCAGAATATCAATCGGGACTCGAAATCGCATCGAATTTGAGGTTAAAAGATCAGATCGTGATCGGAGGCCTAAAATGCTGATCGGGACATCCTTAATTACCGATATTTTGCAACAATCCACCCACCACCACTATTCATATCTACATACCTGTCTGAATGCAGTCATGTTTTTCTCGCTATTTATTACTTTGTTGGTTGATTATTAAAGCCAGGCATACACTGAGATATATTTTCAATTGTTGCAAGCAGCTACAGCTCAAACTGTATGATAAAACCACAGGGTTTAAAAGTTAACAGCTCACAATGTATTTTCCTCACACTGCACATCCAAAAACCCCACGTCGGACTCAGCGCGGAGTGATGACGCTGGTCGGACTCATCAATCTGGAAGAAGGAGAAGAAGAACTCCATTGTTTGCACATGCGTAATGCTCGAGGTTCTGGTAAATCAGCTCGTAGACGCTCGTAGCTCTGCTTCAACAGCAGAATTTGTTCAGGAAAACCTCACGACGGCCAACTGAATTTCAAACATGTTCGATTTTCTCCCAACCTTACAATTTTTGATCAGGAGGTGGTCGCGAGAGGCGAATTGCCCCTCGTTACCGTCAACGCAGGACGCACGATGAGGCTGAAAGTCGGCCTGATCTCGCACAACTGGAGAATTGGCCTGAAAAAGGGTAAAAAAAAATGGTACAGTGTATGCCTGGCTTTAGCAAGATACCAGAAAAACTGCTCTCAATATATACTAACCAAAATATCCTGGTACCTTGTTTTCTTCATATCCGGTGCATTTTCTTCTGAAACCTGAGGATGTCCTAAAATGTATTTTATAAATATGTTTACACTTGCTTATTCGGTGTATTTCAACTCTAATACATTTGAAAAACAAATTGAGCAGAGTTAGAAAAACGTTCTACAGTGACAAAGTCTCTGCAGCTTCGTGGCTAAGCTTATTTTTGGCAGTGAAACAGAAAAATTTAGTATTTTACATTACATCAATTTACATTTATAAGTTTAAAGAAGTAGCTGTTTATATTGACTTTATATTAAACTACAGATTACATAAGGGTTTGCAAAGGCAGAGTTAATTGCATGCAGCTACTACCTAAACAACGCTAACCAAAGTCAATTAGCAGTTTTGTTGTGCAACCACAAAATGCAGGGGATCTGACGACTGTCGAATAATCACATTAAAAGAAATAATGGTATGGAGGAAAGCACTTTTTTTCTGATATTACTTTGGATTTCTCTTCTTGTTGTGAGTTTCTATGGTTTGTTAAGTTTAACTTAGAGAAGCGTTTAGAAGTAAAATTGTTTTGGGCTTGTTAACTTTGAAGAAAATAAAGCAAGAAGTTTGTACTTTTTGTGTCTATTAAAAGGATTCCTTCTAAATCACATAAAAAAAAAAAACAGCTGAAGGGATAAAATCCCCTCAAACTTTTTCTTAATGTTTATTCACTTCATGAGAATGAATAAGTCAAAGATAATCTGCTAATTCATGTTAGTTTTGTGTATTTATGAATCACCCAGCATCATTCTTATGTCATTATCAGTAATGTTGTAACAGTTTAACTAGAGACCAATGACCCCCCCTACCCCCTTTACCCGGAAAAGCTCAGGCTCAGGATAAGGAAGAGCTCCTACCTTGTTTCTCTTGAAGTAGGCCCTGCGGCAGGCAGCAAAGCACTTCTCGCTGCAGAAGCTCTTCAGCTCACTCCCCATGCTCAGAGAATAGCGTTTTACGCCAACCTTCTGGCACCAAGCGCACATTATCTGCACATTTAATGTATCTTCTTCTAAAAAAAGAGACAAAAATTGAATTGTTAGAAAGATACATTGCAAATAAGGTGAGGTAAATTGGGTAAATAATCTGCTAAAGAAACCAAATATAAACAAAAGCACCTGTTAAGGATTGGGAAGTACAAATATTACGGCACTATGGAAAAAAATAAAAATCTAGATAAGTCATTTTTTTCTTAAAATAAGTGCATTTGTTCTTGAATTGAGGAGGTAAAAGACACATTTAGCCAATTTACATTTACATTTAAAATAAGAAAACACAATTGCATTGTCTTATTTCAAGTGCATTTTATCTAATCATCTTATTTTAAGAGTAAAAATGCTCATTCCATTGGCATATTATCTCATTTACCTACTCAAAATAAGGGTAATTAAACTTAATTTAAGAAATTTTTACTTATTTCTAGGTCGTTTTTCTAGTGCAGGAAATTTTGGAGAAAAGCAGAAAGTGAAGCAGAAACTGATGCAGAAAACTAAGGAGGAAAACTTTACTCCTGTTTCAGTTTTTACTGATTTTTCAGCTTTTATTTATTGACTGATACTTACATTGACCAAATACAATATAACCACAGAACAAAAAATTATTTCTTATTTTATATCAAGTGATATTATTAAAACTGAAAATAATAGTAAACAACAGTAGCCATGAGAGCTGCTGACCTTTTGGTAATTAACCAATGACTTACATACATTTTTAAAAAGAAGTGGAGAGAAGTTGATTGTTTCTATCAGCATGAATCTATTGGAGATTTTTGATATAAGACAAAATAATTCATTACTTGTTTTTTTGGCTGATATTGGACCAGAAAATCCCTACAACACAAACCAACTATCTCCAGCTGATCTGTTTGAATTAGTTTAAGAATAAGCCAATTAGATCTGGAAGCAACAGCAAAATAAACTGGAGGCTTTTTAGGTAAAATCCACAAACAACGAGTAAAGCCTGTAGAATGTCGCTATACAATATAAATGTGACTAACGTCTGGTTATATGATATAATTTGCCTTATTCTTTCTGCTAATTAACAAACAACTCTGGAGATTAATTGCGTTTTTTGAACTTGAAGGTATATAGTTTCTGTTCCTTTGACACATTTATCCAACAGTCACACTACATGAAGCTGGAACAGTTGCTGTTTGATATGTTTTATCTTTTGGTTTGTTGTTTGTTGATATGGCATTTAAGTAGTGACAGCAAGTAGAATTTATTTGCAAAAACATTTGAAAATACAATATAATTAAATCCTTTGATTATATCCAACAAATCCTGTAACTTTCCTTAGGTTTGTAAATGTGACTGAATGTGTCACTCAGACTTCAACAACTTTACTGAATGACCAGAAAAGTTGTAAATATTTGACGTAATTGTTGAAATGGCATTCTTTTTTTTAACCAGTGTGTCCTGAAAAAGTTATTGGAGGGCTGGAATAGCAAAAACATTTCAACAGTATTTTGGTTCCCACATGCACAGATCTCTTAAGGGTATAGTTGGAGGATTTTTTGCAAATGTTCGCAAAGACCCCGCCCTCTCCATTAAAAAAAAGAAAAGAAATGCCTATGCACAACCCTTTACCCGCTCCAGATAGGGGACCGTCTATTAAACGTGTACGAGAGCATGCACAAGCCCATTTCTCTTCGTGCACGCTCTGTTTCAAATTTGCTGTTAGCATCACTCATACAAGCTTAATTTCCAAAAGAAGATCTTCAATTTTTCCACTATGTCAGACTCACCACAAGTAAGTGAAAATGGGGATGAGCACGTAGGACGGCTTTATGTAACCATATCACCAGAATGATTGACAGTTAGGAGGACCACTTATTTTGATGATCCACCTGGAAAAAGAACATCCTCCACTATACCTTTAAGGGATTGGGATTTTTATAGCAGAAAGTACAGCAGAGAACAAACACACTGATGATCAGGTATTTAGCCTAACTCTAGATTTTCTCCAGTCTTGGCTTGTTAAACAGTTAATCCAAATAAAACGTCTGCCGTGTCTGAGTAGCAAATTATTTTAAAAGCCCCTCGGTGACAGTGAAAGGCCTCTTTTGTGGTAAGCTGTGACTGCTGATGATGAGATTTGGGCTTTTAGTGCAGTTGGTGTTGAAATGAGAAAGATCCTCCGATATTCCCTGTAGTATCCTCCAATTATCACATTATGGCTGTGTGCGGGTGAGGGTGGGAAGGAAGCAGGCCCATTAGTTTTTCACCTCGTGTCACCTCTTTATCACTGCTGGAAGGGCTTTTCACCTCTTCCGAAGCTTAATGGATCTACAGGGCCATCCCATTTAATGTAAACACTAACTCACAATTATGGGAGGAAAAAACTCTCTTGGGCCCTAAAAACAGGAAAGTATGCTCAATCTGCATTTTTATCTTCCCTTAATCTTCCTTTTTTCATTCACATAATCTCAGTGCCTACAGGGATTATTATTGAAGCCAGGATTAGGCTAAAAAATAGCATATCTTCAAGCTTGATGAAGATCAGAATGGACAAAAACATAAACAAAATCACAGGATCTTCCTACAGTAGATATATTGATAAAGAATTAGATGCTTGCACCTCCTTGGAAACACTTAGGCCGACAGTTATTGCTGTAATTATGCAGCCCCCCCGACTACATGCCACAATCATTCTCCATACCTGCACCTCAAAGGGCCTTTGTGGGATTTTAGAGGAATCCATGAATAATTCAGAGTGTGTGTGAATGATTTTGAGGGGGGGGTGAGATGAGTTTAGGAAGGCGTGGGCCTCCTGGCTTTAAGTGGGGCTGCACCATCTGTTTCCCTGCCTGGGCAGGGCCAGTGGGGACTCTTCTAGGGCAATGCCAAAGCAGCACGCTTCCTCCATTGGAGTGTAGCAGCCTCCTGTCCACAGAACACACTAGGGATAATGAAGCCCCTGTCAGGCCGTGGCGCGCAGACATTTCCTCTGAGAGATATTATATTGGCAACTGGGCGGCCGAGAGAAACCAAGGTGTACAGCAGGTATCAAGCTTGTTAGCTGGCTGTCCCTGGATGATATAGAGGCCAAACTTTTCACTATTTATAAGCATTTGATTCAGTCACTGTCAACTTCAATTGAATGGCACCTTTTGAAACAAATAACAAAAGAGATACATTGTGGGTTTCAACTACTTATAATATTTTATATGAGATCAGTATATTTTTAATAGTTTAGGGTTCCAGCTGAGACGGCTGATCATCTCTACTACATCATCTTGATGGACTTTGCTGTTTACAATGATGGAGAAGTGACATTATCTTCTGTTCTTTAACTCTTGGGAGGGTTAACAAAAAAAAAAAAACAATTATATATAAAAAATGTATCTTGTAATGAACTAAGTGAAAGGTTTAATGTAACTGTCAGATTAGTGGGATTCTTAATGGCAACATTTCTTTCTAGTCTCTTTCTGAGATTTAAAGGTATGTCAGTGGTGTTTACTAGGGAGGCTAAAGCTGCCCTGTAGATTTCGTAAAATGATTGGTAAAATATACATTGTCAAACTTCATAACTTTAGTCATTAAAATGCATTAAATATGTGCTAACATGTATCTAATTTCATGATGTTATGCATTAATTAGATGTTTATTCCGCTCCCAGAAGCAATGTCCCCTCAGCTCCGGAGCAGCAGGACGCTGCCTGAAATCCCTGTTGAGGGTCGAGCCTCTGTCTACTGAAGTAACCCATGATAAAGTAGAGCCCTGATTGGATAAAACGTCAAAATACGTCAATTCCAGTGAGGCTGGACTCAAACCTGTAATACAGCATTAGAATTTATTCCTTCCCAATATCACCTCAATCCTCATTGCCATGCAGGTGGTCAAAATATTGCACATGTTAAGCCAGGCCAACAACAACCCTAACGACTCCCTTTTTTATAGGCATGGGCCAGTTTCGGGTTCATTTGCATTTCCAAGGGGTGGACCTGTTTTCGAGTCAGACTGCATGTTTTCTAAGCCATAACAATCATATAAGCCTGGAACTCAAAAGCTACTCCAGACATTTTGATTTGAGAAAGCTTTCTGGACAGGAAGCAAAATATCTTCAAACTTAGAAAACAAAGTCCATCGGTTTGTTTTTAACTTTTTTTGGATTAAGCTTCACCTGTTTCATAGAGCAGCAGCCGCCACTGAGGTATGTATACCAGATTAATATTTAAACAGCTAAATAAAGCTTAGCAGAAACATCAGTTTTCATATTAATTCACAGGCAGATTTAGATATCATCAGCAATGATAATGAATGCTGTATTTTTTATCAATTTAATAATAAATATAATGATAAATATAATAAAAGCAAGGCAGAGTTTAGGCTGGAAGCTTAGGGAATGCTGTGTGGTGCTGCTGACCACTTACACATGGAATAACTCAAGGTTCCATCTTAGATCATGTCTTGTTTTAATAAACTGAAACATTCAGTTTGCTTAAATGAGACTTCAAGCACTGTAGTTCAGTTCTTAACTGATATTGAGTTTCATAGATCTAGGGTGTCAAACATCTTACAGTTTTTAGTCTAGGTAACACACCACCTTGATTAACATGTCTTTATGAAGAAGCAGAGTTTAGTCGACATGCCTGGCAAGAAAGGCCAAGCCATGACTCAGATCAAGTCTTAAAATATTTGACTAAAAAACCCAGGAAAGATGTTTATGGTAAAACCAGCAGTTTAAGCAGATTTGACCATGACAACTTAGTCTAAAATGCAAATCCATAGGTTTGTTTTTGTCTTAAACATAAATCATTTACACGTTTTTCATTAACTTGTATTACACAACTTTTTATTAGGCAACAAAAAGAAAATGCCAAAAGAAAAATGCATTTATGCTAATACCTGCAGGTGGCTTGATAAGCGGTGGAGGGATCATGGGGACCATGACTGGCATGTTGCCATGCTCCCTGCTGCTTGGCGTGGAGGTGGATGGAGTGCTGGATGGCTCAGTGACTCCATTTCTTGAGTTTGGCAGGGACAGGGAGCTGTTGGCTCTATCGGGAGAGCCCTCACTGCTCTCTGTTGAACCTGGGATTTTTGGCAAGGAGTTTTCTGTGCAACAGATAGGATTTAAATAAATTTAGGATTTTCATGCATGTATCTCCTCACTGCATATCCTGCTGTAATGTAAGATCCTAAGGTTACCTAGAGGTGGAGAACATTTCAGTCCACACTGTAAAAAATGCGTTTAAAAGTAGGCTTAAATATATATTCTAGGATAGTTTAGGTTATAGTTTACACCTGGTCTTCATCAGAATTAATATCTTGATCCCGTATTTTATAGAAACTGAATTCAAAATAGAGAGACTGCATGAAACCTATGAAAATCATTGCTGCTGCTTTATAAAGTCTACAGCTATAGGCAATTTGTCGCTCTACAGCACACAGGTACTGGTGCATGACTCAGCCAAATGTCAGGATCGAGTGTTACCTTGTAAATACCTGTACATATTTATGCTAATATCTCTGTTTGAACTGTGTGACCTGCCCTTGTAACTATGTAGCCTCGATTTTTTACATTTTTAATTTTTTTGTAATTGTTGTTGGCATTATATTTCTTGCCCAGGAAAAAAAGTTGAAAACGAGCTTCAGAGCTAATACTGACACATTTACAGAAATGTTCATCAATGTGTACTGTCCCTGACAAATAAACAAATTAAATTATTAAAACAAAATAAATAAACAGGATGTGTGCCAGCCATGCAGTGACATTGGAGAAGCAGCTATTTGGAAAAAAATCTTTATCTAACAAGAAGTATATGGTCATTTCCCATATTCCCATATTTGAAAAGCTTGGTTAAAATTGCAGAATTCAAATAAACTTACTAAATTTCTCATAAAAAAGTATTTCTTTTTGGTTTAAGGTGTTTTTTTTTTGACATTTTTACAAATAATTAAATGCGTCTCTGTGAGTATTGTACCTTTTAGCACTGAGATGTGCTGCGGCATCTCTCCAATCTCCAAGTTGTCAGCGTCCCTCAGCTCCACCTTGTCATAGCCGTACCAACCCAGCAACTCGTTCATGGTGTTCTCTGCAAAACTCTGGGAAAAAAAACGATAGGTTCATAAGAATCCAGTTAACTTTCCTGAACGTAATATGACAATGCTGCCAGCAGTATCTTTCCCCCTGACAGAAGTCTTAGATTTTTAAAAGGTACCGTAACTGTTGTTTCAGATCATTAGACAACAATAGCTTGAGTAAATTACAGAAAAAAAAACATTTCCCAAATTCTCTTAGAAATGCTGCCCAAACCAAGCTGTTCCTAATAATGTAATCCTTATCATATTAAATAATAAATTACTTGTAATTAACCACATTTTTTGTTTAGTTTTACGAACCACAACCTTGGGGTTTGATTGCTACTTGTTTGGTAAAAAAAAGAAATCACATAAGAATGTAATGCAGCATGAACTAGACTAAAATATCTCAGAAAGTAACCAATTATCCTAAATCTAGAGAAATTCAAGAATAGATCAAACAAAGTAAGTGACATCTATCTGTTGCTAAAAAGTCACAAAGCCATTTCTAAGGCTTTGGGATACCATGCAAACACAGTAAAATCCATTATCTAGAAGTGAACCTTTTTAGGGATAGCAGAACTAAGAAAATTACTTTAAGACTATAATCATATCAGCAGCTCCTCCATAAAATCACACGAGAATCCAAAACAGCATCTTAAGCACTTCAGGACTCACTTGCTTCATAAACTTAATATTTTTTATTGTACCACAATGGGGAAATTCACTCTCTGCTTTTTGACCCAGCCTGCTGGGGAGCAGTGGGCTGTCATTGTGTGGCACCCGGGGAGCAGTGTGGGGTTAAGGGTCTTGCTCAGAAATCCAGAGTGGAGGCTGTGGGGATCAAACTGGGTACTTGCAACCTTCTCAAGCGCACTGCTCTAACCACTGGGCCAACACTCCCCACAATAAAGGTTCATACTTCAACAAGGAGAAGACTGGGTAAAATTGGCACCTTAGACTCTTAGTAAAAGCGATGACTCTGTTATTTCGGTGTTTAGAAAAGGAAATTTCGTACAGCTTTCATAACATTTCCTTAAAGTGCAGCAGTGATCAAATGTAAACAGTGTGGGAGAAAAAACATGGTGAAATGATGATGACAATACGGAAATTGTACCCCTTCCCCCTTCGTCTGTTCCAATTTGCATGTTTTTAAAACAAAAACAAGGCTTTGTTTGACTACTGTATAAAACCTCGAACTCAATGCTATTCCTGACATTTTGAAATAAAAAAAAGTTTCCTGGTTGGGAAGCGAAACGTCTTCAAATATGAAAACCAAGTCCTTCGGATTGTTTTGAATGTTTTTGGAATGACTATGACCTGGAAGACTGATAAACTTCACCAGCACAATACAGAAATTATGTGTTGGTCTAAGCAGTTGAATAAGGGCTTTGGCTTTCCAAATCTGAATAACCAGTCAATTCCAGCAAAGTCAAATTTGACTTTTAGAAATCTGCACTGATGGGTCAAAAACATTTTAAACAAGTGTTGGTGAGTAATTCATATATATATATATATATATATTTGAGTTTTTACAGCACTAGTGGCTTGTTTTTCTGACAGTAGGCAGACAGGCAAGGGGGAATGAGAGAGCAGGAGAGACATGCAGCAAAGGACCACAGGTCAAATTCGAACCCAGGTCGGCCACGTCAAGGACTAAGGCCTATGTACATGGGTTGTGCACACTAACCACTGTTCCACCTGCATGCCCCAGTAATCCATACTTTTAATGTCAGGATATATAAGTTCAATAAATTGGAAGTTCAATACATTGCCCTGTTAGTTTTGGGAATCCAACTAACAGGCCCATAGAGAGTAATCTTTAATCCTTGGGGAAATAGGTTCGGCTAAGGTTTATCTTTCTTGTACTAGTCCTGTAAACACCACCAGTGCCACTTTGCTATCTTACTGAATTGTATATTTAACTTAGATTTGTAAACCCATCTAGGGACAAGCGCTGCAAATAAGCTTCTGCTATAAGATCTATGTTAAAAACATAATTTGTCTATGTTATTGTATCTGTCCCTATCAAATAAACTAAATAAATAAATAAATATTTAAGAGACTAACATGTACATTTTGTGGAAGCAAGAAGAAAGTCTACAATAATCAACATAAAACAGTAACATGCAGAATAACCATTAGATTTGGGGATTCTAACTTTTAAGTTCTAGTAAAACATCAAGTTAGTTTCAAAAACTGTCCTGAAAGAAGAGCTTCATTATGCAACTTTCTGTATGAAGACTTTGCGTCATTGTTTTTTAGAAAATACGAACATTTTTCATTGTATTGGAAAACCTACATCCTATTTAATTAAAAAATACTTTATTAATCCCAAAGGGAAATTAAATAAATTATAATAAATATGTTAGTTAAATAAAAAGGCATCAGTGTATAGGTTTATTATTATTTAACTCAAACAAATGGTGTCTCATGTGCATAAGTGACATGCTACATGGTACAGAAATTGGCATTATCTTACAAACCTAAAATGATTAAATCAAAGAAAATCAATGCAAAGTGCTGATTTTTACTGTGCTTTTTTGGAAGTAAAGTAACAAGAACACAGAGAGGCATTTAGAACCACTTCTGCCTACCATAACCTCACAGAACCTTGTTTCCTCAGCACAAGGGGTTCAGTTCTAAACTCAGCAGAGAAAGATTTGTAATATGGTGTATTTCCTTTACTTTAGGCCTGTCTATAAAAGTCTGTTATTCAAGGAAGAATTCAATAAAATGCTAAAAGGGTACTATAAATGAGGAATGACAGGAGCTATTGATCACTGTGTCGTGAATTACCACAGTGGAAAGATAGTCAGCGGGAAAATGAAGCCAATGATCTGTGGGGCAACAGTAGTCAATGACAGATCACAATCAGGCTTTATCTGCAGTGTGATTGGAGCCAATAACATGCAAGTAATTGAGTTTTAAATATGTATAGCAAAAGCTAAATATTTACAGACACATATTAAAAATGCATATAAAATTACACAAAAGAAATACAAATATTTTTTGTTTTAAGGCTTCTTAGGCTTTTCACCATCATTGAACAAAGTAATAAACAAGTTTAAAAAAAAATCCCTGTCACATTATTTCTGACATTTAATTGATATAAAACATGTCAAGACACTATGAAACCAAAGGTTATAACTTTTTACAGTGTGTATATATGTTTACACTACAATTACTAATAATCTTATCATTGTTCAACAAGGTTTTCGGAAAACAAAAAGTTTGAAAGTTTGATGGATTGCTAATTAGGAGAATTCCACTGAAGACACTGCTCCTCTAAAATAAAAAATGACAGCAGTTCTCTTTCTGCCTTAAGCTTCCTGGAAGTCAAATTTCCTTCCATGAGTCAAAGTTTGGTTTTGACAGGAACTAACACAACATCGCTGTCATGTGAAGAACTTTCGGGGGGTATTTTTGTAATAGCTAAACTAAAACCAATGTTATGTAGAAGTTTAATAGCTATGGTTCTACATTAAATGGTATCATCATTATATATATTTTGTAATCTTTTATAAGGAAATACCCTGAAAGAGATGCACAAATAAGAAACTGCTATTAGCAAAAGGTTTTATTTCATTTTCCTTATTCAAAAATTCTTTTTAAGTAATTATAAAAAGCAATTTGTAAGGCAAGGCAAACATAAAGATTGAGAATTTAAGTTCATAGGTGATAATAACTAGCTTACATATGGATAATATATCACATTTATGTCAGTTAATCCCTGTAATTATTACACACTGCACCTTTAAGCAAAACTTTACAGCCAAAAATATGAATTAGGTTTTAATAAGACCATATGCGATTGACCAACACCAATAATATTTAAGAGGAGAAAAACAACTTTTTACATTCTGTTTTATGATTAAAATGCTGAAAGCTTAAAAAACATTTTTTTCTGCATCACAATAAGTTGCTTTGCGTTGGACTGACATTAATACTGACTGAGCTTTCCAGTTGTTAGGCAAGAAAATATATAAAAGGATAAATGGCTTTAAATCATATTGCAAGGGTTACTAAATATAACAAAAGTTAGTTGTTGTGGTTACATTTTTTTTCATTGTCCCAATAAAAGTTACTCAGTCACAGTCAACTCCAAATAAAAAATAAAAAAAGAAAATCAATCATGGTTTTCCAAAGACACAGCAAAAGATCATTTTTAACTAAATACCTAAAAGGATGAAGGGACTAGCACAGATATTTGTCCCCTAGTAAAGGTGAAACCTTAAGTGGAGAAGAAAATCCACCCATTGAAGAAAGGAGTCAGAGCATAACCCAGGCCTGAATGTCCTCGAGCCCAAAGCGGATATAAGCCGTAAGTTAACCACAGCATCTCTGTGTCTGCCCTCCCTTCCTGCCATTCTCTGTCAACCTACTACTTTGAGAAAGTACGAGCGTTATTAGGAGCGACACTCAATCCTTGCTGGCAACTCATCAAAGCAATTGCACCAACTCCATAGCTGAGGAAGTGCAGGGGCGAAGGAGGCACAGCAACCCGTGTGCAGGTACATTACTCCTTTACATCCTTTAATCTAAACAGCTAAGGTAACATTTTAATATCATTTCCACAAATGCGAGTGCTTGAATATACACCTGTGAAAAAAGGGAAGATAATACTGCTTTTTTTTTTTTTTGAGAGATGAGCACATGGATTTGTTTCATGGATGAAAAACTCCAGCACAGCGATGCTCAGAATAAAAATGAAGATAAATGGACAGAACTCGCTTTGCAACATAGAGGGCCGATGTTATTTACAGCCAGAATACTCTAAATGCCACAGCATTGTAAAACGAGCATTAATAAAAAAAAAAAAGATGTTAAAAGTTTTCATTAAAAATCCCCTCCAAACTCTGAAAGGATATGTGATTCTGGAAACAACATTGAAATAACTGGTAGGACAAAAGGTAGGAAAGCAAAAGGATTTGATAATTACTAAAAACAAGCCAAGAGAATAAATTAAAAGGAGGGTGTGTGAAAAGAATAGAGAACAAGTGATGAACAATGTAATAAAAGTA